CGACTCTGGGAAAGAAAAACATTCTTTTTACAGGAAAAAAACCTGTGGTACAATCTCAGGAAGGGAAAATAGTCTGGTGCTACATAGGGTTAGGTATAGAGACAAAAAACATATTTTTGTATCCAGCTGTAAGCATGTTTATTTGTAATGTAAAGTTGTAGATTTTAACATGGGAGTCTATAAGAACTGCTGGAACACCTGGTGGACGTTAGAGGAACTGCAGCTTGTAGTGCTTGTGATGACATCATTCTGTTTAGGGTTGCTGTTTTGTTATGTGGAGTGTTACTTTGGTTAGGGTTTGAAAGTTTTTGGTTATTTATCGCATGGTTTACGTTGCTTATTGTCATTTTTCTGCTGGTCTTTAATTTTTTTTTCTTTTATTACCTATTAGTGAGGTGGTTGTTTCTTTCTTTGTGATATTAATAAAGTTTAGCCTGTGCAAATCCCTGTTATCCCGCACTGCTGTGCAATAGTGTGACCTGGACTGTGCGTGAAAAGTAGGCCACAGTTTTGTGCGCTTGATGCATGGACACATTTTTAAAACTGCTGCTTTTACGTTGTAAATTAGGAAAAATCAGCTCTTTTCTTTTACTGTCAGACTAAATAAATTAAATCCACAAACTCAAAACATATTAAAACTCAACATGAGAGGACATGCAACTCTGATACCCTGCACCAGTTTCAGCTTATTTTACAGTGTCAGCATGTAAAAAATATGCTGTCCCCATGCAGCTGTTCTGCTGTTGCCTTTGGTGGTTTCTTAGAAAACAGTAAACCAAGTGGCCCAGCCTTGTGCTTTAAGGAGGTCGGATTACTTTACGTTACTTTACGTTTCCAGTTTTCTCACTGTGTGACCTTATTTTTCACCCCGACAGAGTTTCTTTTAACTGTGTTTTAAGGTTAGCAAAGGGACACTCAGATGAGAATTTTTCTTACAGTGTGGACATTTGCTGACACACTGTCAGGATTGAAATGCAGCAGATAAGAGGAGGGGAAGAAACTAGAGCCGAGCATGTCGGATTGGAGGATTTGGGAATTTGGAAGGGATGATGTCTGAGAGATTTGGGTCCAGAGCCTTCAGGGTGGGGGTGAAATAGAGATATATCTGCATGTGTGAGTGTGTATGTTTTGGGGGCTCTGGATGTGGATGGCAGCAAAAAGAGAGTTAGCCATCTGTCTGCAAAGAGGCGGAGCCTGTCTGTCCTGGACTGGACCACATTCTTCTTTGGCGTTCCTTGTGTAATTCAGTTTTCCAAAAAAGACTCTTTACCTCCAGCTATGACTCCAAGAAAGAGCTCAAGTGAACCTGTTTTGCGTTCCTGTGCAGGGTTTCTCTCTTCGTGTGGGGCCTGTCGTCAGTCTAATTACCGTCATTCTCTCCAGCTGCAGAACAAAGGGGCTGATCTGAGGATTAGAGCTGCAGATAACCAGGACTTCTGCCTGCAGCAGGGGAGAGGCATTCATTGGAGACAGTGAGGAAAATATAAAGGGAAGAGCACTTTGTAGTTCGGTGGTTTTAAGGGTAGGATTCCTGCAGGTCTTTAAAACAGCCCTAAATTAAAGACAATTAAATTAAGGTGTTAAAATTCTCTCATGTTCCCAGTAAATTTGCTGGTAGAAAAATCACAACAGCAGTTGGCTCTAAGCACTTTATGATGTAAGGTAAAGACCCTGGAATAATACAAGAAAACAGACAAAACCCCAACAGTCAAATTACCCCTTATGAGCAACCGCTTTGACGACAATGGCAAGGAGAAACTCCCTTTATAAAGGAAGAAACCTGCAGCCAAACCAGGCTCATGGAGGTGTGGCCATCTGCCGTCCAGTTGGGGGTGAATTAGGTTGTTCAATAGTGGAGGTCCCCACCCCCTCTGCAACACCTCTCACTCATGGTTGGGATTATGTCATAAAATGTAACTTACATTTTAATTAAAATAGAGGAAATACAAAAAACTTAATAGAGGCCATTCCGGTAGAAGACGGAAAGACCATCTCGGAACTGAGGAGTATAAACTTCACCATGTTACAGTGATGGAATTGCAGCCATTTCCCAGCTTTCTGTAAATGGTGCGCATAGCCACTGATGAAGGTTCATTACAATTTGCATATTAATGATCAAGAAACTAATTGTTAGTCAGTGGTGCTGGTTATGCAAATGTACTGTTTATACTGTTGAGGAAACCTGCAGTCAGCTGAAACTGTAAAAGTAAACTGGATGAGCGAAGAAACATTTGTCCCAGTGAAAAAGTAACATCCAGAGGAACACAATCAATTCTCCAGGGTTAATGTGTGGATCACAAGCTTTTTCTTCATATTTATAAAATTAAACAGCACTTTTTATGCAGTTTCATTAAAATAATTCATTTGTACTGACATGCTGAGACAAAAAAAGGTTCTCTGTACAGATTAAACTTCATCCTGAGATGATTAATATTGAAGTTTCCCCAGTAGGATCTTTGCTCCCCGCAGATTGCAGCAGTGTGTTGGAGCCATTGTTGCTTTGCTGTTTTACTCGTCATTGTTGTTGTTTTATTATTGTTGCACACAGTAATTGGGTTTCCAAAAAGTGCACCAAACCCTGGACATTCGCCAGGCGATGCGTGTGTGTTGTTGTTACGGTGTCAGCTGGACTGCTCTCACCAAGCGTTCATTGAGCAGTTCTCTCACCCCATGACAAGGAAAGTTGCAAGAAGCAGGGCCTGTGTTACAGGTCAGTGTTGTGAGTGTGTACCCTGAGTCATGGTGCACACAGTTTGTTGTTTTAACCCCGCCCCTTTTCACACCCAGGCCTGTGTCGAGTGTTTCTTTGTTGATAAATTCCTCATTCTGATTTCATTTTTTTCTATTAAATGTAAAAGAAATATTTACATGTAATTGTATATGTTTAAGATTTCTGTGATGATTTTTGTTTTTGGGTTATTTTTTACCTTAAATTGTATTTAATGCATGCGTTTCTTTTTTGTCTCCACCAGGTGGCGCTGCTCGGCCTGGACCTCTTATCTGCCTTAGTGACAAGGTTACAGGAGCGATTTAGAGCCCAGGTGGGAACAGGTAAGACTCAAATTCTAATCTTTGATGCGAATTTAATGTTTTATTTAATGTTGGATTGTGGTAATCTGATCGAGTTGAAGTGAAGTCAGAGCTTTTCTCTCTATTATTTCAAATGCTTGAATTAAAAAAAAAACCCTGACCAGCGAAACTCAGTCTGTTCATTTGTCATTATCTTTATAAATTAAAGTTAGTTTGCATTATCTAATTAAAAATTGTTAAGTTTACTTTCAGTTTTTAGTTTTTATGTATTTTAATGTTAATATTGGATACTGATTGATATTGAGGGAAGTTGACTCTGTGTCTCTTATTGCCCCTCTCTTGCCCCAGTCCCCTCAGGATGAATTTTCATCCACATTTAAACACATCGACAAATAATCAACCAAAACATATTTTGTATTTTTGTATTTTGTATTTTATTTTTTTCAGGCTCTTTGAAACATGTCGAGTAACACAAAAATACAACGTTGCAAAAGCGAGTGAGAATTAAAGAATTTGAAGAAAAGCTATCTGGAGCATGTACAGACTGATATTAATCTTTAATAGGGCTGTCAAAACTGAGAGCAAACAAAACTGCTGTATAATGCCTGCCGCTATCTTAGTGTAATTGGTCACATGACTGCATCACATGACTAAAATGTGTCATGGTTTTTGAAAAGGCTCCGGGTTCACTGTCCACACTGCAACGCGAAAACGGCATTTTCAAATGTATCTGCTTGGGAAACGTTTTCAAAACGCTGCGTTTTCCTTGACCAAAAACGCCGTCTCAGTGTGGACGGAAGACCAAAGTGGAGAGAAAAAGATGCGTTTTTAAAAAAAAACGTATTCGTGTGGACATGGCCTAAGTTCCTCAGTGCATCCTCCCCTGAATTTAAATGTGTGAAAAATCAAAAGCTTTTGTTTCAGAGTTTCAAACTACTTTTCTCACCTCTTCTCACCAAGTTTCTGTTGAGTGCTGTTGATCACTTCATCTGCTCTTACTTTGCATGAGAATAACTTGACAAAACATACTGTACAACTGAGCCCTTTCACCATCGTTAAGTACCAATAAATAACTCATATTTCCATCAACTTCTTTCTTTCTTTCTTTCTTTCTTTCTTCACTCAGTTCTGCCCAGCCTTATTGATCGATTGGGAGATGCCAAAGATCAGGTGCGAGAAACAGACCAAACGTTGCTGCTAAAGATCATGGAACAAACCGCCAATCCGCAGGTAACACGCTCACTTTTTCTAAGACAGTTCAGGTGTTCATGCATTAGCTCAAATTCAGATGGATGTCGGCTTTAGTTCTCACTTGTTTACTCTGTGGTGAGCTTGGGGGTCTCACTGGGTGTGAAAGTCTGCTGCCACACCCATCTGCACCCGCAGACTTCCTGCAGTGGAAGCTGGGGGCTGGCAGGATGCCAGTGGTTGACCTTGTTAGACAGGTGTTACACCCAGGGTCTTCAGCACAGACAGCATAAAAGAAAGAAGTTACCATAGTGACATCCACCACTGGTTGTCCAAGTCCTGCTCTGAAGCTTCAAATTGATCATCTGGGTGAACTGCATCAATAGAGCTAGCTATAGACCTGAGGACACAGCACACTCATTGACTAACGACTTCAATCAATCACATGTCGTTAGCCAATGAACATAACATTGATAATCCTCCCTTTTAACACTTAAACCAGGCACAATTAAGATATACATAAATGGGAAAGTGTTTACTGAGGTCAGGGCAATCTACCCGTAGCCCCCTCTATAAACAGATGATCTTTTGCAGCCACAGCTGTTGGCCCCTTGTGGTCAAAAGAATGCAGGTTTAAGGCGTTTCACCATCAGATTTAACTGACAACTACATTCATCCTTTACACTTTTTATTGCCTGAATATGCTTTTTCACAGGACGCAGCTTGTGCTTTTTTATTTTTAATGGATAAGACCAAAAAGCATCACTCTTGTCACTGCTGTGAAAGTGCAACAGGCGCTTGCTGGGCAGTGTGATGACTGGACTGCTGTGCGATCAGTAGAAATGAGGCATACAGCTAGTATGAAATGGATGAAAAGCTGATTAATTAAATACAATTAAACAACATGTTTCTGAGTTTGTATAAAGACCAGGGAGGAGAAATCCTTTCATTGGAAACTGGTTTGGTCAGGTGTAGCTTTGTGTTTAAACACATTAGCTGATTTTTGATATGTTCTTCAAAGTACTCTCCAAATATTACAGTAAAATCTTACATGAATTTAAAGAATGTGAGTAAATGTAAGCCATTAAGATTATACGCCCCTTTTTTAAAAGAAATATGTGACAACTACGACTGTCTTTCATGAAACTGCAGGACAAAAGTGTGTTCTCAACCTCTGACGGGGCGTCTTATCAGAATTTTCAGCTTGAAAAAGTCCTCTTTCATTGTGTACATGATGTTTTTGCAGTACGTGTGGGACCGAATGCTGGGAGGCTTCAAGCATAAAAACAACCGGACCAGAGAAGGAGTGTGCCTTTGTCTCGTCGCCACGCTGAACACGTGAGTTTCCCTCCTTCGCTCGTTGTGCTCGCGCAGGCCGATTGGGCCGTCACGTGACCTCATTGTTAAAAATCTGTGTCCTCCCGTCTCCTCGTTTTTGTCCCGCTGCTCATTACTCTGATCTGTTTGTCTTACAGATATGGAGCCCAAGGCCTGACTCTCAATAAAATTGTTCCTCATATATGTAACCTCCTGGGGGACCCCACTAGTCAGGTAAAGCCTACCATGACATCTCTCTTCTTTTCGTTTTTCTTTTTAGAAGATTTTGTGAAGAGACACCAGGTGAAGTTTAAATTAAGCCAGCCGGCACCACCTTGTACCACCAGGTGGTGCAGTGAGTTAACCAGGGATGTCATATAGAGTACCTGATTAAACGCTGCCATCTGGAGGTGAAAGTCTGTATGACTTTTTTTTTTTT